CATCCAGAATGTCTCATTTGAAGCTCGGTAGAACTTTACATTACACCCTGTATATATTTTTATTTACTTGAATATCTTGAGCATCATTTGAATCCGATATCGATTTGTCTATTTCGAAGGCAGTTGGTTTGAACACAGCCCTTGCATGTAATTTTCTACGAAATTTATCGTCAGCACTCACTTCAGTGGATATATCGAAAAAGAACTTAAGTATTAAAAAAATAACCCTTAATTGAAGTTTCATAGTGGTAAAAACTAGCTTTCACAATATTAGGCAAAAACTCAAATGTACACGTTGTTGAGCTGAATTATTGTGATGCCTATCTAAAGTAGTTAGAGTACTATACAGACTATAAAGTAACGGTTTCTGTCAACGGAATGAACCGACAGATGTTCAGCTATGTTATAAATTATCAAAAAAATATTCAACTTGAAAGCATCGACGGGCGCGTCAACATGATTATTCATATTATAAAATGCGTTTAAAGCAATATTGGAATTTACTATTATTGGAAATAATCTTATGGTATTGTGACTTTCGCTCATACGGTTAACACAATCAGTGTTGAGCTATGGATCTGGATGCAACCTAAATATTAAGGAAAAATTTAATAAGTTGGCCCATAATACCGTCTCGAGTTAGGCAACATTTTATGGCTACGTGACTTTTTCAATATTATGTTTTTGGGCAACAGTTGCAAAAACCGAACACTGTACTATTTGTTTGCGCATACCATTTTATAGCGAACCCGATCGAACGTAGACACACGTTCCAAGTGACAATAATTGTATTTGTTTATGAACACATTTTATGTGGTTGTATTAAATTTGAGCACCTCGAACCCACACCGTGTTTTACCTACAACCGCCGAATGATTATTAAAATGGGAAATATTCGCTCTAAAAAAAAAAAATGTAAATAATTGTTAGGTGCCGTGTCGTGCAACATAATAATAATAATAATATTATAAAATATATTTCCCCCGGCCGTAAAAATCACAGTTTAAAAGGACCAACTTTGTGCAATGCCCTCGGCGCGCTATTGTTATGGAGATGACAACTTGTCGGCTAAGCTGTCCCAAGGTGCGGTTTCGAACTGGAAACTCCAAATCCCCTGCAACCCCCCCCCCCCCCAATCCACAAATAGGGGTTTTACAACACCGTAATCAAAATGCTCGACAAAAGAACCAGCCGCCGCCACCACCACCACCACCACCACAGCACCGCCTTTGTGGTTTTGTTTTTGTATTTTTTTTCTCCAACGCTGGGTTCGGTTTACAACGAGGATTATCGAAAAAGGTCGACTTTTAGTTTCTGTGTTCGTGTGAGAGAGAAAAAAAATTCAGGTCTCGGCTCGGTTTTTTTTTTTTTTTGTAAACTAGAACCGTTTATATATGGAAACAATGTTTTGAAAATAAAAAAAAATAATGTCCACATAAAGTATAATATTGCTTTATTATTGCCAAGAGAATCGCTATATATATATATATATGTATTACAAATAATATATAATAATGTTATATTGTATTAAATTAATATAATATAAGAAAAGTTGGCCTACTGAATACAGTATTGTAAATACGTCATCGTAATCATATTGTATTTTATCATAAATATAAATTTATGTAGGCACTATTATTATAATACATTTAAAGCTATCGTATTGTACGCACTTAGTAAGTATTCTTAAACACTACACGGAAAACTACAGAGTAAACAATATGCAGACAATGTCTTTTTTGTATAATAATATTTTGTTTGTATACACAACGCTTTACATATATTATTAACATAATATATTATAAAAAAATTGTGATTTATTTTTTTTTTTTGTTTCGACAATTATTGCAAAGCAAGTAAATACAAAAAATTACCAGAGTAAAAATAAACTATTACCGAAATTGACATTATATAATATAATAAGCTCATAAATCATATTTTCATAATACACTTTGGGCGGCCAACGCTCTAATAACTATATCATCGTTATTATTGACATTTTGTGTAAAGAGAGTAACATTTTCAAAACCGCATATTGATATGGTTATATTATCATTGTACGCAGACACTGGCCCATTGTAGTTGTATGTCTTTAATACAATATATTGGCAAATTATATTTACAGCGATAAAGTAATAAAAACCAACCGGTAATGTAAATTAATACGGTTAAACTAAAACTAAAAAAAAAAAAAACAAATGTAAAGTAGGTATATAAATATATAATAATATGTACTAGTAAAAATAAGAGGAACAATAGTAATAATAATAAAGAAAAAACCGTGACTAGACGTTGTTATATTTTGTACCTATATAATATAAAACAAATGTTTTTTTTATATTTTACTTAAAACACTAAGACGACGCAATAAGACTAGAAAAATAATACTTGTACTTATGTAATAAAAAAAAAAAAAAGGAAACATTGTGATTTCAAGAGAAGAATCGTTTTGTCATGTATATATATTTGTAATAACAGCCGTAGTGATAGTGCAGCAATATTATTTGCATATATTTTTTTTTTCTTTATTGCTTTCCAGTTGCGTTTAGTTTTTTTTTTTTGTTCACCTGTTATCGCGTGAAAACAAAAGGCATAGAGGAAATGTATACGGTTTTCTTTTTACCCATTGGGTGGGAAGGGTGTGCATGTGCAGTTAGAGGGCAACAGCCAGAGGGGTGAGACGTGAGGGGTGGACGTTTTGTCAAAGACCGGATATAATATATGTAGGTGTAATATATGATATTGTTTCGTGATGAACGACTTGAAGCTTTAGACATGAGGCACATAGACATGAAAAATACCGTAAATATGATAAGCATCGTACACGGGGCTCTAAGAGGACAAGGCAAGTATAAGGAAATATATATTTGTTTTGTTTTCATGTATGTCGTGAGTAGGTACGTGTTCGAAATTTATCTTTTGTGACCCGGAGGGGTTAAGCAATCTAAAAATATATATATGTACACATATACATAATAATACATGTATTTTACCATATATATGTATAAAATACATCCTACCGGTTTCCAGTCTAATTGAGCAAAAACATTACAAAGGGCTGATGTTAGAATGCTATTTTTTGTACAAATTAATTCTTCTCTCGTTGAAAATGTGTTATGACCGTTTGAATTTATATTAGTAAATAAAATTTCAAAATGTCCATATTATTTAAAAAAAAATCAACGATAACGCTATTAACGTACTAACGTTAATTTGTACAAATTTTACATAAAAAAAAATCCTAAAAACGTTTACAAAAACGACAAATGGTCAAAAATCCTATACAGTCATATACACTATCGACGACACGGAATAACTCTATAATAATATAAATATCAAATATAAAACTAAATACGTTTAGATAAAAAAAAGATGAATATATTGAGCATTACAAATTGGTTGAGTATAATAATATTACACAATAACGTACTATTATGTAGTCTTATAAATCTTGTTTTATTTTTTTTTCAATTCTACCAACTAAGTCGATAAAAAGTAAAAACGATAAAAATTATGATAACGACAAATCGTTTTGGCGTGTACGTTTTTTTTATTTTTATTTATTCCTTTGTGTAAACTATATAATATGGTACATAAATATCTATTCTTTTTTTTTGGGGGTTTTTTTTTTTAATATTATAAATCTATAAATTTTATATTAAGTTTAAGTCTATACGTTATTATTGCATACGATATAAATTAATTTTCGTTGAACTACTTTTAATAAAAAATACTAAAATACAATTTTTTTTTGTCTTTTCTTTTGATTAATTTGATCATCGTTTTTCTTTATCTGGAAGCTTTTTTTTTTATTGCATTACGTTCCTCGTACATAATAATATAAATATTATATAAAAAACTATTCATCTATCCGTCTATCTAACTATGCATATATTATGATCTATCTATCTAGAATATCCGATATGTTTTCTTTGCCAAAGACACACAACCATTGCGGCGGTGTACGATCCTGCTTGACGATTTAGTTTCGAAGAGAAAGAATAAAACGACCCGAATAGTAATTTGTTGAAAATTACATATTATCGCGTCGGCAGGGATGTTTGTAATATTAAGTTTATTATTATTAATTTTTTTTTTTTATTTTGACTTTGTACCGCTCAAAACAATAACGCTGAGCAGTCGGTCGAATTCCGAATAATTGGAAGAGATTTCCGAGAAAACTTAATTAAACGTCCCTAAGGACAGCGAAGAGGCCGATGTATACACAAAAGGGGTTTGGTGGGAGGGAAGGCAAAGGTCTTGGATTAATATCAAAAGTTTGCCGGCCGAGCCTCGTCGCCCGTTTTCTTCGAATGGCCGTCCCGTTAATTTATTTAGTATTTTTTTTTTTTTTTTTGGGAATAAATTAAAAACATTTAAGTATCCACAGAAATCCGTTTTACGGTCGCCGCCCTGACCTGAAGTGAATATTATTTACACCCAAAGCCAACGACCTCGGTCGTTATAGATGATAATAATATAATATAATGAAAACACAAGACATTATAGGTACGTTTTCTTGGAAAAATCACGCTGTATTAATATTTGGCATCATTATGTAAACCAAAAAAATTCGTGAGATTTTTAAGCTAAATCTATACATGCAATTCAACCGAGTGAATGAGTTTAATAAAATGAGTTAATAAATCGAGTAAACGGGCAAATAAGCGAGTGTATGAGTAACACACAGTTAATTAATGAAACAAATGAGCTGTTAATTTAAGTAAATAGATTGAGTAAATGAGTAAATATACAAGTGAATGAGTAAACAAATCGAGTAGACGAGTAATTAACAGTTGATAAGTTAAAAAATAGAGTAAATGAGTAAACAAAACGAGTAAACAGGTAAATAATTGAGTAAACGAGTAAAAAACAGTGGATAAATTAAATAGTTGGGTTAATAAATCGAATAAATATGCGAAAGAGTAAATAAATCGAGTAAACGAGTAAAAAACACTTGTTAAATTAAGAAATAGAGTGAATGAGTAAAAATCAGTTAATAAATCAATTAAATGAGTTAATAAATCGAGTAAATATGCAAGTGAATGAGTAGATACATCAAGTGAACTAGTGAATAGTCGAGTAAACGAGTAAAAACAGGTAATATATCAAATAGTCGAGTAAATGAACGAATTATCGAGTAAATGAGTAAATAAATCGAGTAGACGAGTAAATAAAGCTAGCAGATTAGTAGATAATCGAGTAACCGAGTAAATAAACATAGCGTGGCGCGAAAAAATCTCACGAATTTCTTAAGTTTTAAAAAACATTTCCGTATTAAAAAAAAAAGTGTCGTTAATTTACTCTTAAACGAAAAAAACTAATGTGTATTTGACTAGAAATTGGACAAAAGGCTGATAGATTAAGTAACCGAAGTTTGTAACCGAAACGTACAGTTTAACGGCAAAGGCCTTTGCCTTCGTTGTGTTCGACGAATTTAGGGGACCGTTTTCTCAGTACAGAGATAATAATAAACGTAATATGCGGTAATCGGGGTGGGGGGGGGCGGTTTCTCCAAAAACAACATAACATTTCGCAGAATCAAACAGTGCAGCAATAAATTCGCAGACAACGATTATTATTATTATCATCATTTAAGAGTTTTTACATAACATAAAAAGTATGATAACACTGTTGCAATAATAATAATAATAATAAATTATAATATTATGTATTAATCGTATTATCTCGAATATCACAGTCTAAATAACGTTTTTACATGGTTTTTGCGACCAAAGTAATTTGTTTTTTTTTGTACGTAACTCTGTTATGACTAGTCGTGTAATGTGCGTTGCACTTAAGTAATTGTAAAAAAAAAAAAAAAACTATATTTAATATATAAGCGTACACAGTACACCCGACTCGGGTGTAATAATAATAATAATTTAACCTATACAAAAGCCGCATTGGCCCGTCGGACCGCGCCGAATTTTGGTATCGTGTCTAAGTCTTATAATTTTTGTTTTTATAATTTTAGCAAGTCTTGTTAAGTTCAAAAAAACCCGTTTACCTACTTACCGCGACGACAGGCTTTTCTCTTCGAACAAAAAACCGTTCGCCGCTGACGGCTATAAAAAAATAACGTCTAAAATGTATTGTATAAAAAAAATCTACACACGTTTTACAGGAAAACGTCACACTACAAAATATAAATACTATAATATAATATATTTAAAAAATGTTTAAAAATAATTCTATCAAAACATTTCTGTGTTATTGCTTTTACACTACTGCCCCTTCAGCGCATAATGATATTATAGCATACCATATGATAGGCGTGGGGATTCTTTGGTAATAAATATTAAAAAATTACCTTAAAAAATACCGCTAAAACCTAATTAAAAATACAAAAAAAGAAAGAAAGAAAGAAATCTTAAAAAACTAATATCTATATACGAGTCTCTCTAAGACTTTGTAATAGTATTACAAATATCATTATTACTATATATTATTATATCAGTTAAATCGTTGATTGGTGTCACAGTTTTCTATATTTGGTTGAAAACAAATTTTTAACGGGGAGGGGAGGCTGTTTTTTGGCAATCCATGGCGCTCGCAGTGAATTATTGAAATCATACTTACACGGGGTTTAGTTTAAACGTTAATTTAGTCATTATATGTATAATCCTATTTACCTACAGGGTGATCCGTTTAACGCGAAACACTGTCAAATTATTATCCTTTTAAAAAATTAATTAAGTGCTCTGGAATATTATACTAAGATAAAGGCGAATGCTAAAATGGTTTTCAAAATGTAAAAGTGTAATTATTTTCTGCAAAAATGAGTGTCTCACGTTAAATGGATCACTCTGTATAATAAAAGGCTACCGGGAAAAAAACGATCTACCGGTTTAAACCGGTTTCACGTGAGTTTTGCAAAGCTTCAACACGAACGCATACGTTAACCGTCCATGGACGAAATATCTACGGCGAAGCGCACGGTTTCGTAATAATAATATATTGCTTATTGCGTTTGGTCGGCTGCAGCGGCCACGGCGGCGAACCGTATGACGGACGTCCGGCCGAGCGGCTGCAGCTGTGCGCACCGTTATTGGTCGATATGCTGATCGTCCCAAGGTTCCTCGACGGTGGCGACGGCGACGGTGGCGGTGGCCACGCCGCCGATCGCACGGCCGGGCGGACAGGCTGGCGCGCACCCGGCTTCCAGGTGCTTGTTGAGGTAAGACTTGAGCGCGAACGACTTGCGGCACCAATGGCACGTAAAGTTCTTGTCGCCCGAGTGGGTCATCATGTGCGCCCGCAGGTTGGACCGGTCGGCGAACGCCTTGCCGCAATGCGAACACTCGTAAGGCTTTTCGCCGGTGTGCGAACGCATGTGGCCCTGCAGCAGCCACGGGCGGCTGAACTTCTTGCCGCAAAAGCCGCACACGTGCGACAGCTTATGCGTGAGCATGTGCATGGCCAGTGCGGGCATACTGACGTACGCCTTGCCGCACGTCGCGCACCGCTTGGCCGAGTGCGAGTCCAGGCTCCGGTGAGTTTGCCTGTGCCTGGACAGGTTGGACGACGTCGCGTAGTGCTTGCCGCAGTCCATGCACATGTACCGGCCTGGAACAAACGTCAATCGAGTTATTAATCACTTGTGTTGCCAATCAGTACATTACCAGATAAGTTATCTAGATCAAATCTACTCATATTGGGTTATTGTATCTTTATCTGTAGCTAGATAATTTTTAAGGAAATTAATTCTTTTTAAAAATATGTCAAATTCAATTTTTCAACTATCTACATAGGTTATATACGTTTGAGAGATTTAGAAAATCCACAAGCACAAGTATTAGATGTTTTGGCATAGAATGGCCCAATAACGAATGGAATTCGAGTGAAGTTAAACTTGAAAAAAACTACAAAAAAATGTTTGGATATTTACAGCTTTGCCAAGTCGTCGGTAATAGCAACTGAGAATCCATTATTTAGGAATCAAACTAGGGAAAGATATGTTAGCCTATCAGGAATGTTCACGCCCACTTGTCATCGTTATAAAACTCTCTTTGGGGGAGAAAGTTACCTAGCCAGGACAAGTTTGCAGCGAGTATAAAATAAGATAGAAAATAAATTTATTAAAGCAAAAAGTCCGACGCTAGTTTCTTTGGAATGTGTTTGGAGTTTTCAAGTTATCTGCAGAGTTAGTCCAGGGGAGAGAATTACAAAATATTATGCTTTACTTTGGGCAGTCTGAATATTGCCAAACCGCGCGGGATAATACTAATTTTACCATTGGCGTGGACTACTAAGCTTTAAATTTTTCGGTTCTTACTGAATTATTACATATTATGACATGCAATAATTTGCCTATAAACGGTTGTTATACACACTAGTTGAAGGCCGCCATGTTGTGAACAGTTATTGTTTTTTCCATGATTTACCGTGGAAGAGTAACGTAGCATTTTTTCTTTCCATGAAACTGTATACAACATGGCTGCATATTAGGTTGGCGGCTCATACATATTTATGCGCGTGCAGTGTATAATAATATACGTGATGTCAGACACACTGCATATGCATAATATATGTAAGCCGTTCACAGACGATATAATACGTTTTATACATTCAGGATGTATACAAAAAAAAAACGAGTCCGGCGGGTAGTTTTAGAGTATTAAGTATGGATAAATCAAATTTTGATGGGTCTCGCACGGATTTATGGTCAACCGGTGACGTTTAAAACTGTCGTCAACTGTGTGTGGAAAATTCAAAAAACAGACTTGGTGGAAAAACAATTGCGTAGCCGAGCGATTTGCAAAGTATATAAGAGGGACGAAAACCGTTTAAAAAAGAAAACTAATGTAGTGGAAACGGTAATATTAAGAGTGGAAATAAAAACGGAAACTATTTATGTATTATTTGCGGGCAGGGTGGGACGGGCGGAAACGGTTAATGGATTCAAAGGACGAGACAGTCAAAAAGCGGATGAGAAAATTTGATTAAAAAAAAAATAAAACCGGGAAGGCGACAAGATGTGATGTATATTATTCTTTTTTTTTGCTCAATCCAAATTATTATTTAACGGGTACGACCAACACGTGGTAGTCCATAACTGAGTTATAATAAAATACAATATTAAACAACTTAAAAGAGTGTGTATTATGACTGATAGAAATTGTAAAAGTGAATTTAAATAGCACACAGCTGAGACCAGATTAAATAAACAAAAGCCTAAATCAAATTTTGCTAAACCTGTTTTAGATACTGGTCATATAATATCACCACTTGGATATAGAGAATGATTTATGTACAATAATTATTTTCCCTACTCGGTCGACATTATTTGACATAATAATAATTATAACGGCGGAAAAAATACAAAAAAGGGGTGAAGTGTGCATATAAAAATACTTGAAAGGTTAAATTAAAAAAATAATTGTATTGAACGTTTTAATAAACGTTGTCCCTCCGACCGTTTTGTTGTGGACACGTGTTGGAATAGTACATTATTATGCGAAACGCGATTCGTTTTACAAGTGTAAAAAACGTCGAAAAGCGACTTAAACAATAAAAATTATTCAAAAAAAAGAAAAAAGAGAGAAATATCGAAAGGGTTTAGAAGCGGTCCGGTGCTCGTCGACCCGTACCTATTGTTTGAACGTTGCCCTCGAATACTGTTCGAGCTGGTGCCGACGGGGAATACTATAAAGGTCACTTTATTGCAGTCGTTATTTTTCTTTGGCTTTTTATGTATTTTTTTCGCGTTACAATTGTAAAAAAAAAGGCTAAAAAACATTTATCGACGACAATGAAACGCGACAGAGCTCTTCAAAAATTGGCGTCACGTACAGAGCTGCATTATCGCCTCCAGGTTTACTTTCGAGTCCCCCGAGGAGATCAAGGCAGAGAAAAAAGCAAAAAAAAAAATGGATCTTGGAGGTAGCAGAGAGGTACAAAATCAATACTGAAGATATCCATAAACGAGTCTGACGTGGAATAATTCCAAAGATATTGTAATTATTTCAAAGAGACTGCAAATGAGATAACAAAAGTCTAGTATGTTGTAGAGAAATAACACAAGGCCGACGATGAACTTAAGAGGGGAAAACAATTATAGAACAGAATTCAGATATTTGGCAAGCTCAAATGAAAGATGTGAAAAAAAAATGAATAGAGTCTATTTTCAGACCCGGAGGACAATTGGACTAATCTTGAATAAGAGAAGACAGCAAATACAGAGAAATGTCACATAAATAATAGAAGATCAGCAATGCAATTTATATCATAAGAAATGAAGAGGAAGGCATAGAACATTTTTTAAACACCAATATTCATTGGAAAGGAAATTGCAGAAGTAAATAAAGTGAATATTTTAATAACATCAAGTTTAGCTTAACAGGTGATAATTTTCGAAATCCTTGCAAAAACATGTAGTTACATGCGAGTATTACATTTCTATCATTATATTATATAATATTTGGGAAACGATTGCTTACAAGCTGTAGGGTGTAAGTACAAAATACTGAATTCAATAAGTTATTTATTTGGGAAAACCGAAGGAATTTTGACAAGGAAAGAGATTCTGAGCCATAATTATTCTTAAATGAATCACCCGGTTGAAGACAGACTATGGTCGATAAGGTTCGCGGTACAAGTGTATTTTTGTCGGTAGGTCACGCCCAATTTATATATATATACATATATGGCTGAATGTGCTTTTGACAAAGCTCGACACGATCCCTCGCACTTAACGGCGGAGTCGTTTGTGTGAAAAGCAAAAAAATAATAGTGCACGAGGGTCATCACTCGACGGCGGCTACGAGATAAGATTAAGATGATTCAGAGCGTTCATTATTTAATGAGCTTAACGCCCGCCACTCGTGGCAAAATCGTGACAGGTCTAAACGAAAATTCTTAAGCCTCGCGCCCAAAGACAATGCGGTTGAAACAATTTTTTTTTCCATCCGAGTTATCGTTCAGTTCAAAAGACAATAGGGCCGAAATTATTTTCGTAACCGCGGCGGGCGAGTACTATTAAATTAAAGTCCATAGTAATAATAATAATATTATACACCACTGCGGCCTGGCTTGCGACTGTGAGTTAGATTGATGGAAAACAATCATGGCAGTTTATGCAATATCACTACATCCATGCCAGAGGTCAACATTTGAAAGTGGTAAAAATAATTTCAATTAATGTTTCGATGCATATCAATGTGCATTTTTAGGATCTGGTGGATGCGATTGGGGTTGAAAACCGAACAATACGTTATAGCTCCTTGTTTAGATCTACCTTCTGTCTTACTTCCAGACCTTAAGCCCTGAAGACAACACCTAAAAAAAAAGAAATAATGTCCACCCTTTTGGGGGAAAGAGTTGCTGATATATCTTTCAACGTTTCTCGACAATAGTTCATCTAAAGAATACCACTAAAAAGTTACTGCGCACCTTAATTGTAAGTTACAAATGTTCTGGGCGTGTTTCTCAATGTTTAAAGAGAAGGGGTGAAATTTTCGAATTTTCGAGTAATCGGTTTAGACACAAAACAAGTGACATGAATGAATAACACATGATTATAAAAACAACAGCTCCACAACAACGCTGTAAAGGCTGGCCTCAGTACAATAATAGTGGAAATCCGTCTCGTCTAGTCTTGTTTATGTATTTTGCTAAAGTGTATTATATTAAATGGCAGTAGTGCCGACAAGCGACTGGAGCTAACCGTGTGAACGTCACTTGGCAGAACGTTCGCAGTGATAAATTATTGTCAATAACAGTGTGTAATATTACAACGGCGCCAAAACGTTTTGTAACACTTGAGAGGCCATAAAATAATATGTATACATATGTGTTAAAAAAAAAAAGTTAAATAACGACTCGGCAGTTTAGAAAGCATTTAGGGGTGCATAATATTTCAAACGTAGTATTTGCCCGATTGATGTGGCAATCGAGGCAACTCGGGGCAAACGTCTCGGCAGACTCGGATGTCTCCGGCGTTTTCTTACAGCAGCAATGGATGAGGTGCATGTGTATGCCCGCGAAAATGGCGTCATTCTAACGGGATCGTTTGAATACCATTTACAATAATGGTAATGATTAGAAAAGGAGACAAATGACTAGGAAACGTCTCGCCGGAGCAGAGCACACACCCGTTACTAGTGTGACAAACTTCCATAAATCTTCACAAAACCGCCAGTGCGCCTCTAAACGTTTGACGCGGTAGGGCAATTACAGTAGAGAACAAACAAAAACGTTGGCTTTACATCCGTTTTGCACTCGACAAAAAGATCATAACTCCAACAGTCGTGTTGCCAAACTAGTGTGTTTGATCATTGTAAAGGTAAATGCGCATTAAAATCATGTACACTAAACTCGAGAAGACAATGTCCGCTGAACCCATTTATTCGTGTACTAAGATCAGAATTTGTATCTAAAATGTACTTGTTAAGGTCTAAAATGTAAATAGCTCACCCTTTGCCCTTCGTAGTAAATATTTTTCAACTTAAGGCTATAACTTTTTGGCGGAATGATATAATTTCAAAAACAAATGTCTGGGCTCGACGAAAAGTGACATTTCATACGACCTCCGTGGTGGTTAAACTGTGAACGCCAGACTGAAAGGGTTTAATTAATCCCGTTTGCCCCGGTGGTAACGTCATTTTCCGGATGACCCTAAGCGTCACGGGACCGTCTTATGATAGCGCACATTATTATCATTATTATTTTACCCGTTCACAAACCGCGGCTAATTGCAGTGACCCTAAAAGCCAACTAACTATGTACACTACCGCAGACCTTTATGCTGCGTCCGCACGTTCTCGAATTACCAAATTGCCTAGTTCTCTGACCGGTCAACTGCACTTCTATACTGTCTATTACACAACGCACGCCTTGTCGCTCTGTTGTCATTGCAGACGGACAAAATTATATACCTCGACAGACAGAGAGAGAGAGAGAGAGACTGAGAGTTGCTGTGATTTAATCGAGACCAGTGTGTAAGTTGCAGAATGAAGGTGCTAGGACGTTTGGATTGATTAAACTTTACAGACAAAACGGCATTGTGATAAATTGAGTAGTAAGGAATTTTTAATTTAAAAATGAATTATGAAATACCAGATGTCGGAATTTACTCGCACGTGTTATGCGTCAACCTCTTGACTCGTGTCTCGTGTGGTGGTGGTGTCACAGTGCAAGCTGAATTTAACTGATTTATTAATAAAGCGTACAATAATAATATGCGTTCAAGCTCTCTGTTTTGTCATGTAGTCTATGCTAATAGCACCTTACAAGTGCGTGCCAACGAGATGAAACTACAATGATTTAAGATCAAGCGAACAATTGAGAAAAGGAAATCACAAAATCCGATTGTTGAAAACATCACTAGCAAAGAGATAAGTAGCCGTGTAAGAAAATCAACCGGGTCACCAAGAACAATCAAACATTTAATTTCGAATACCATCCTTCCTTGATTTACTTTGTAAAATGTAATTAAATTCCTCGTTATCTCCATTAAAGACGATCATTCGGAACAGTAAATCGACATGACAATAATGGAATTTGGTTCATTGTAATAGTTAAACTAAACATTCTTCTCCTTCGCCTTATCCCATACAAGCAGATTGTCCTAATTCTGTCTTTCTACCATCTTCCCCCCCAACTTTCATGTTACTATTTATAACATTCTTCTACATAATAGAGATAAGAGACAGATTATAAGAGGTGAGCGATAAAATGGAGGAAGCAAAAGAAATTATGGAAAAGATGTAGAAATTATTAAAAAGATAATAAGCTGATAAGAGACTGTTGATAAAATAATCGATTGATAACACAATATTAATAAGACAATCAGCCGATATTAGAGTATTGAGAAGGCAATAATGAATGATAACTGATAAGTGAGGGAATGAGAAGAGAATATAGGGGAGATGAACAGATTGATTAGAGCTGATAAGAGATTATTGAAGTAAATTAATATAATCAATGAACATGAAGGTATTTATAGGTCACCATAACACATATTATGATCCAATATTTTTCCTTCAAGAGAAAAATCTTATAATTTTTTTAAGTGTACGTTTTTGATACTGTTTGGCTAACTTATGTCAATCTTAAGTAAAGTGATAGATTAAGTACCTTTGTTGGAGTTATGACTTTCGGTTGTTTCTGGTCCCACGGTTGGCTTCTCGTCTTCGGCGTTCAAGTCTTTGGACAGCAACGGGTCGTATGCTTCCCTTTTGATGACGTAGTCGACCACGCTGTAAACGGTACCATCGATGGTGATCGGCGTGTTCTCAGCGTCAGAAGAGTACTCAGACGCAGGAGGTGTCAAGGGCACAGACACTGCGGATACGTAGATGAATTGCGGAGACGGAGGAGCTCCATCAACCACACCGGCCGGTGTCTCAGGGGGCGTGGGAGCCGCTAAGGTGACCGTGCTAGGTGGTGGCAAAGGCGGGAGTGACCTGCACAGAAATCCACGTCATGCACATAACATTCATATAGCCAAGGATCGTTGCCAATGTTAATGACATTGCAGGTTAATGATGGGTTAGAAGGGATCTAAAATATTTTCCTACGACGTTGCGAAGCCTATGAAACGTTATTTCAACATGTGAGAGGGAGAGTGTATCGTGACATTAAAATGAAGTGAAAACGGTGAAAGGTCAACAGCTATATGCTAAAATCCTGGCCAAATATTGATTCATTTGGCCAGCGTTGGGGGGTTTACATTCAACGATGACAATCACGTTCCGAAGACAACACAAATTCAAAGAAAAAAACGCACACACAAAACTATGTAACATGTTTGAAATAAGTTTTCGTCCTAGTCGTTGGATTTGAAAAAGTACAAAGTGATTATGATGTTTCGGCTGACGTGGCTTTAGCTTTTAAACCACAAAAGTTTGACAATTTAGTCGACGTTGTAGCAGAAGAAAAAAAAGTTGTTTTCGGTATATCCCATAAGGCTACGCCTTAAAATAATAAAGTAGAAACGAATGTTAGACTGTTAAGCTAACAAATACATTGCACGGTTATGCTTTCGCTTTGTGTTTAATATTCATTGGCATATTATTTCAAAACTAACAATGATAAATACAATGTTTGACGGCGTGACAAGCTATTGTAACAGTCTGACATGCGGTAATTAATTCCACATGAAATACCTGGAAAGTTCTAGCAAATCGTGAGCCGCTTCCGTTTCTTCCTTGCTCCTCTCTTTGAACAACATCTGCTTTTGGTCTAGTTCGTAGCAATACTTCAAATAATCTGCAAAAAAAAAAAAAATCAACTCGACATTAGCGCTTTACACGTATTCCTGTTGAATGTTAATAATAATAATAATATTGTTATTATCGTTGTGGGGCTGCGTTGAGCGGTTTAAGGTGCATCGCCGAGGCCTTATACCCTCGTTAGTCCGACCTTGGTTGGGGTGATTTTACAAGCGTTTGAAGGGCTGCCCGCGAAATAATAAAGTGCCGGCGGGGGAGAGTTTTACAAGGGTGTGTCAGGGTTGAGGGAGGAGAAGAAAAGAAACCCTTCGACTGCTATAAAACCAGGAGGGAGCAGACGTGACGAATTCGCGTGTTGATTCAGTGCGGCAACCTGTGGAGAGAACGCGTACCGTCACTCCTCTGTTGTTGTATACTTACTCGGTAAAAAAAAATACATACATGTATATTATGTATTATATGTATACTTAAATGTTACTAAGCGCACGCCATGCTCGCATTCGGCCACGGCGGAACATTATGGTTATTTTGGTAATGGTAATAATAAAAGTAAAGCCGGCTACGACCGAGGCCGAGAGAGCTCGGTCGGCGAAGGGTTTGTCGACGGTCGTTTGAAACGAGCAAAGGCCGGTTAAGATAACTTTTGCACAACTACAAGTACGACATTAGACACGAGGGCTGTGCCATTAGTAGTTCCACCGCCGTGTGTTGTCTGCCGGCACCTGTTAACCTGGTTAATGACATTTCCATGCGAGTCGTACAGCTATTGTGCTCTCGGTGTTTCCAAAATGATTTAGAAACAAACTACCGCGGACAAAACGGCAATCGGAAAACTCGACCCGGTACGCATTACTCAAACAGCGAGACAACGTTTTCAATTGCCTCTGAGCTCCCGGAAAATTGCTCGTATATTGATTGTGTGCAAGTGTTAGGTTTGCAGCCGTTTTGAGGGCGAGCTGGGCACTATAATTGTTTTCATTTCCTACAAACAATAAAAATTTCCCACAAATTACGGCTGGAGTGCTATTTTCGCGAATAACATAAATAAAATATGTATAATTAAAAATGGCAACACTGTGTCGTTAAACAATGGCCACGGGAAAGCGTGCTAAGATGTTATTTATAGTCGTTAATGAGAATCCCTATATATTGTGAGTGTATGTGAACACAAGCCAGATGAATTTTTCTTATTATTTACACGGCTGTACAGGTGGTGCAGTTTTACTTTGTGCGGACAAATTGTACACGTTGAATTTGAAAAGAGAATAATATATGATTTTTTTTTTCTGCGGCATTAAGACTGCGACTGCGACGACAATGCCCGGTAGTTATATATGTTTTTTTTTTCATCATAGGTACAGGGTTTTCGTTTTAACGCGACCCGAAATCGTATTTAACCGTTCGTTCTACCGAAAACGGTTCGACAAATAAAATAAATAAATAAGAAATTGCTCGGTTCGACAAGCGGGCTCGTTACGCAGCCACACAAAAGTGGTCTTGATTGAGTGTCGCCCGACTTAAACGAACCGTGTTAAAAGCTTATCCGGGAAATGGAACAAGGTGAGCAGAATATGCTGTGGGTATTTGTTAAAAAAAAAAAACACCCAGACTGTACAATATGCGAAAAATACCCGAGAGCTCGTTTGGATTCGACGCCATTTCCTGTTTACACTGGTGCGGTCGATGCCGGCGTGCATTATTCACACACCGAACGACGACTGTTGTTGCTGTTGCTGTTTGCCAATGATTCGAGAGAAAAAAAAGGTACGAGTTTGCTCATTATTTGACGGCGAAAACGTTCCAGATTGTTTCCAGTTAATATTTTTCACACCGTGTGTTTGCATTGAGAAATTCACAGCCTGACGATTTCCAAAATTAGGTATATCCGTGTGTTTCCAACCGCGCACAACGGTCGTATGTATTATGTGTAAACATAATATGAAAAAAAAAATGTATACATCTATCAAAAAGCTTATGTGCAAATACCGACGAACGAACGAACGAATGAATGGGGGAGGAAAAAATGTAAAATAAACGGTACTGCACAAAAGCTTTGAGCTAACGAAGAACTCGACTTTATTGCGCACTATGAGTGTTTACCCGGAGGCTTATTTGGCCGTATTACTACCCTAAGTAGAACTAGGAATTTTCTTCGCCGTTTGGCCGTGATAAGACCCGTACATCAACCGGCAGTAGAATCTAAGCAGAGGTATTTTTATATGTAGCAGCAATCGAAAAGCGTCTGGAACGGGAAAAAAACGGATAGAGCCAAACACAAAAGCCAATATAAACCTACAGTCATTATATTGCTGCTGCTGCTGACTGATCTCGGCTGTGAGCAAAGAATCGGTTTACACACACATTTACAGTTGCATACAAACAATATATACGGATGTGTATAACGGCCAAACGCCACTACTGGCCGGTAACCAATAAAAAGACCGTCCACTCGGACTTCCGACCTCTTCGGCGTGTTAATGGGTTATTTCGTTTACGGTCGTTTCATTTTCCTTTTTATATTGTTTGTAATTCCTTCTTAGTCTTGGTTTGCTTTTCCTCCACCGGTATAGTTTTATACTTTCCCAGCACGGCCGTAAAACAATACCGTCAACTGAGATGATGGCCACGGTTATAGAAAACCATAATACTTTATACGCGATTGGACTTAACAGTGATGGGCAATCCGAGCTTTATATAACCGCGTGCGTGTGTGTGTCTGTACTGTATGCACATTGTTTGAAACAGATAATCGGTTTAAATCCGATCGAAGTAATAAAACGGCAAGTAAAAAAATGCTACCCTACTCTTCCATGACAAATATTAAAAATGTTAGGTTAGGTGCAAGCACGGGTGTTTACAAAACAATCTTGTTTTTCAATAACATTTTCCTGTTTACTAGCTAAGTGTTTTTGTTATAAAGATAAACGACATATTTAGTATATTGCGACATACTTCCCCTGGTGTATAAAATATTAATTATTATTTCAACAACGGTTATATATTTGACGAGTCGTGGAAAAAACAATAATCGTTCACAACATCCGACTGGATAACAATAACCCCAATAATGATAATAACGATTATTTGAACGTTTTCAAAGAACTCTGTAACACTTTACCGACTTACACAAACTTGACCTTTTTTTTATTTCGTTTTGCATACTTCCGTTTGTAAATACTATGAACCGTGTAACATTTAAAGTTCGCGTTCTGTAGTTTTTGTTTTGCCGATTATAATAATATCCGTAGGTAGTGTATTACAGGCGTGATTACACGGACATAATAAAACGGTTTAATTTAAATCCAAGTGGACTATACAAGAGCACTTTTTGTGTGTGCACAACAATACACAAAAACAACTCTGACGATGTTACAGTGTTTCACGCGAATAAAAGGTTCTTTCTCGCGTGAAATGTGTATACTCAACGAAATTGTGTTTGGTGCACATCTTCCATTAGCTGTGTGTGTTTATACGAATTTATAATTAAAATTCACATAACACATTCCATTAGAGTGGATTAATTTGTATTGTTTAACAGCAAACGAGACGGGTATACGGGATGTCTCCAGTGATGTGCATAACAAAACAAGCTGGCAAATTCGTAGGCCCGACCATGTCCAAACCAACGTCGTCGATTGATTTAAGATAGTATATTTTCGAAAATAATTTTCCAACTCGGCGAACAAGATTTCGTGACGACGTTGCCAGATAATATCATATTTGCATGTCTGTTTCGGATATAGCACAACCGACACGCTGCCTAGCTTTAGGCGTTATCACTCAACCGGATAATGTCGAGGGAAGTGATTCCCGGATGTTCTGACGGGGGTGGAAAAAATGTCCATATAAAATATTATAATAGAACGACGACAGGAAAAGTCCATCCCGTTTGACGACAATACCGGAGGAGGGAATCAAACATATATAAATATATATATATATTGAGTGTAAAATAAGATTTAGATATTTAAAAAGAAATGTATGTGTCGCCATGAAAAATTTCCTGGATAAATCCTCTATAGATCTGTCATATTTTATGTAAACTTACTGGAACGCTAAATAATACTTATTACATTCAATGTGAAATACTGTTGCTGCCTTACTTATAAACATTATATTAGACATTATGTTTCAAGCGATACGCATAACTCTTGCAACCCAAAACAATTCAAATTTAAACCGCTTTTAGTTACAAAAGAGTACTTAATAGTATTATTTTAAGTGTCTGCTTTTCTAAGGCTACTTCAAAATGGCCTGCTAAAGTTAAATTTCAAAACTTTAGCACTAATCGCTTTTCGTCATCGGTTTAATTCTAAGACAATATATTTCGCGGTATTTGAAAACTTATGTATAATTAAACTACTTAATACGCCTGTAAAATAAGTACAGAATTGTTTTTAATCAATATTATTTGATAAGTATGATCCAAGTGTGGTAATCATCAGCTAAAAATGATATCTCATAACATAAATAAAGACGTTACTTTAGTGAGCATAATTTAAATAGGTTGAAAGTTTGTACATTTCGTTTTCCTTTGGCCGGATCCCATTCAAGTACCTATAATAATGTATATATTTTTTTTAATTATCTTATACAATTCCAACTAATAACAGCCGTAAAGTAAAATAATTTGAATTTATATTTGGAAGTTTTTGTTGCCACGATAAAAACCATTGAGATATTGAGGCAAGACAAAATTGAAGTTCACTTCGAAATATTTGTTGAACTCTGCAAAACGTTCATAATAGCCGTCAGCAAATAATATTAATAACAAGCCATACCGAGAGTACTATTATAAAAGAAGAGTTTGAAGAATATCAAATTGTTAGGGACTGTTATTATTTTTATATGGTACATATTTTCTCGTTACTTATTGAAATTTACTTTCCGAGCACTTATTAAAATTAAAATATTCTCATCTGCCTGCATTCGAAGTTATGGAAATGAAATAATTCTCGATGCTCTTATTTATTCAAACTATTCGATTTATTGAACCGCATGAAACTAATAAATATTGTTCTTCAGTAGTTCATACGA